ACTTCCGTTATTCAATTTTACTCTTTTACAAAATAGATGAAAAAACCTATGATTACCTCGCAGCATTTCAGTACTAATACCTGCATTAAAATTGAGTTTGAATATCTTAGTTTTCTGTTGTTTTGAGGCCCACTGAAACAGTTTTAAAATCTGACCTGCACCATTGTCTATTTCTATTGTTTTGACACCGTATGAGGGTAAAATCAATTTTTCGTATTTTCTCGGGAAAAATGCGTTTTTCGCAAATCAAACTACATCACGATTCTAAGCTATCAAACGACTATCAAAAGGCAAAATATGAAGAAAATCGATTTCTGCCCTTGTGCCGCCAAATGTTTGACGGTTATAGACAGTCGCTCTTAAGTGCTGCTATTAGTTATCTTTATTTAGATAGCTTTTTTATGTTTGTATGTCCTAATTCGGGCCCACAGCAGTTGGCTCGCGCTGTTGCAGTCACCCTGCCTATAGTCATGTATATTATTCTTGTTCTTGTTATAGTTTTGTGTATTGTAATATGGCAAAACTAATAAATAAAATAAATAAATAAATAGTTTAACTATGGAAGGCATTTCTATAATACATCCTTTCAATAATTACATCATTTGCCCTGGGAGCCTCGCTCTCATTAATTGTGAGCTAATCACCTTGCATAATTTACTAATGAGAGCGTTGCTCCAAGACCAAAAAGTATGTGTGACATAATTATCGAAAGGGTGTATTGAAATGCCCATTCCAGAACTTTATTATTGGACTATCAGACTTAGCATCAATTTTTCATTGTCATATTTGGGTAATATATTATGAACTGAGGTGACTGAGGTCATTTAATTGTGGTCTGCAATTTCACCAGAGAGAAGAAAAATTGATGATGCTGAGTCAAATCTGAGAATGCCTTTCAATATTTTAGACAAAGTATTCAGAGACTTCAGGAGGGCTGACTCCAAAATACGTTGATGTCATTGACCCATACAAGCAACACCTTGTATTGTGCAAAAGAGCACAAACAATGTACATTTTACCAATGGCACTGAGGTGTACTTTTAAGTTTTTCTTGAAATCAACAAACTTAAAATAGTTCACAATGTTGCCAAAAATCCACTCGACTGAGACTCTGACCCCACTCATAGCAGTATTCCATTCTTGTTGGCTTAGCATCTTTAAATGGACCCTGTCATTGGGGACGATTGGGATATGCCGAGTCTCCATATACACATATTCAAATTATACAACGGAAGAAACTCTTCATCAATCAAGCCATCAAAATTGGCATTTTAAAAATCGTCGAACATCTCTTAATTCTGGCATCCCCAAAGAAATTTGTGTTTTTACTTTAAAGTTTTTTTTGTATTGTTAACATTTTGGCATGAAATTTGCGGCGGCATGCACTGGGTGGAATTCATAAACCTTAATCTGACTTTGGATGATGCTGTAAAAAATTGTAAACTCAAATTTGCAAACTTGCTATTAGCTACTGGGGAAAGCCCTTGATGTGGCAACAAGAACTGTTTGGGCTGAAATTTGTTTACTTGCGTGGAGAAATTTGGGAAACTACAGCCTTGAACTTTACGATGTTTACGTAAAATATTATGATCATCTCGCATGTTCTGCAAACAACCAGTGTATATAAAATGCAAGAGCCATGCAATAAGCTAAATTTTAAATTTTGTTAACAATGGCAACTGAAACAATCAGCAAACTCAAGAACGAGTATATCAGGATATTAAATACTTACTATATATATGCCATGGCTTCAACGAAAAATTCTAAAACATTAAGTTCTCGTTGTCATATAAACATTTCGAAGTTTGGGTGAATTAGAAATTCATCTCAGCACATTTAAAAGTTTCTCGGGTTTTATATTTGTGTTGTGTTTACATTCAGAAGTCAGAAGTGGTTGCTCAAACAGCAAATTAGTTCACTTTGAAACTAATATTTCGCTTTCTAAGCCACAGTATTATATCAATTTTTCTGTCTTCTGAGTTTTGTTGTCTTAAAGATAAACATCTTTTAAAAAGTTCAAATTTCAGCAAAATATATTCGGCATTTGATGCTCATATGTCGCCATTAGATTCATACAGTATGCCATCCTGTCTGTGTTTTACAATAAATATAACCGAACATCTTTAATATCCTAATCTGATAATTATGCATTTTATTTCCTGGACAAGTATTCAACCGATGACTGCTTTCAAAATATAAAAATATTTATGTACTATTTATTCCGCCCCTGAATCACTTTTTGACTTGACTTGTTACAACACTGTTTGAAATATCACAGAGATGAAAATTTGTTTTCCCTTAAGTACCTTACTTTAATTGTTATTTTTACTCTGTCAAAAGTTCAACTGTTATTATGTCCAGTGTCCTCCGAATGGCAGGTTCGACAAATCCAATACTTTTTTTAGGTTGACTTTTTAGGCCAACACATTTCATGTGCATCCAGTTTAAACAGCAGTCACACAATATGCTCTCACTTGTTTCAAGAGCCCCGGAACAACGGACACAACTCCATACCCCCTTTATCTTGTAGCACAGCAATAACACCTTCCACCTGTTTCCACGCGTCGATTGTAAACTATTTCTTAATCTGATTGATAGACACAGACTGATCAAGGACCTTCATCGGGACAAATTCTGGGTGAACTTCAACCATCTCTTCTTCTGCTAATACTCCACGGAGAGCAGATTCTACTTCTTTCATTTCAAGAAAGCAGTTCAACAACACTAAAAGATTGATAAGAACTATAATTAGCATCTTGAAATTTATGAAAATTGCATTGACAAGTGGTCATCTGGTTGGCTGTATTTGGCTATAGGTTTTCCATATAGGTTTAATAAAGTCCATTATTTTGATAGAAAAAATGTAAACAAAGCTTTCATGAACAAATAGTCTGGACCACTTCTTTAAGCTTAAGCATTAAGATTATAGTATAATTATACATTAAAACCTTCAATTTACCTCTTTCTTTTTCGGTAGGTGACTTTTTAATGAATGGTATTGCACCTGTAACCTTTCTCTTTTTGGGAAGACCAATGACAGTTTAACCAGCACATTTAGGCCGCCCTCTCTTCAACATTCTTGGCGGCATTGTAATTGGGGTCAGGGTGTATTTTCCTTGTCTTCTATAAAAATAAATCAAAGACTGAGTATGGGATACTTATAAGTTATTCTATACATGACAAAATTACTGCGATCTGATTCGCTAAGAGGAGTGCAATAAATCATTAATTGCACTCTACAGGAAAACAAAACAATAACATTCCAATTATGGTGGTGAAATTTCTTTTGTAAAATATATTTCGTGTTATATTGATCCCTGCTAATAACATGATATATACCACAATGTTTTTCAGTATACGTTCAGAGCTTGAGAGCTTGATTTATTTGAGGATTTCTTCTGGTGCAACTTGTTCCCATTGTCGTCATCATGAGGGAGCACTGTGGGACTTTCCTGGACCAGAACACAGTCTGTTTGTGTGCATACACTTACACATTCTACATAAGAGGACATTTAGAAATCACAATGGAGTTAGGGTGGGCCATAATATAAATCTATGGTTGGTTGGTTGGTTGGTTGGTCACTAGGTTATTTACTGTCAAATGAAATACAGTAATACAGTCCAGATATATAAAATTACAAACAAATGAAATTATACATGCTAGTGACCAATCTTGTTGGGCAGCATCATCTTTTAGTGCAATTCTCCTTCCGACAGCTAGTTGTGTTTGTAATCTTTTCAATGTTTCCATGTTAGCGAGGAAATGATCAGTTCCAAAATGTGACATTTGCTCGGGCAACACCTTGCAAAGTTTTGAAAGCCTCTCTATATTTCTCTTGCTCTGCCATGGTACTTTATTGCAGCTCTTCAAAACTGATAGCTCCAACAATGAGTGATCTTCAGACAAAGGATTTCCTGTGGAGGGGTTGAGTACTCTATGACTTTTCTTGTAGTGTCTAACTTGCCATCTGTCAGCACACAAAGTCTCATCATATAAGCTTTTGCCAGCATGTTTCTTACTTGCAATGATATGCCTACAGGGCAGTTTCATTGAAGTGAAAAATGTACATTTACAATTATTTTCTGCAAGTTCAGTTTCAGTTTGGCCAATTTTGATACGCACACTGCCACCGTCCAGCATCAATACCTCAGCCTGTTCTGCTTTGTCAAGTTCCTTCTTCACATATGAATAGGAAAATGGTGTAAGCAGTTTTCCATACTCTTTGTGGGACTCTGTCCGATAACTGGTAAGTGGAGTTTTGCAAATTGTGTTCACAGCTCTCTGATTTTGCTCTGTTTTTAATGAAGCAATGCACTTCATTAGATCTTGGAAGAATGATGCCATGTCAGAGTACCGAGTAACCACACTTTTCAGTTTCGCATTTATACTTTCCAAACGGTTGTTTGTTCTATTTAGAAAGTTACAAGAGCCTGATTTTAGGCCTTCAACCCATTCCATCCTGATAGCATCCCAGTTTTTTTCGAAATAATCATAAACAGACTTTGGTGTGCTATCTTTTAGTTGTTTCTTTAGTTCCTGGTAGGATGCTTCAGTTTTTGAGTAAACAATTTTTGTTAGTATTTCCAGAGCCAATTGACGTTCTGCTTGGGAAATTCCAAGTTTCTCTGCTGTTATCTCTCTCCTCATTGCCTTGAGCACATGAAACAAGCAGAACTGTAAATCAGCTTGTGGAAGTTGCTTCTTCAATACTTGCCTTTCGGTCATATCTTTGTCACTTATGATACATTCTACTTTCTCCCAGTCGCCATTATGTTTTTTGAAAGACTCCATCATTTTTGTTATAGTTTGGTTATCCTCTTGGTTGACAATCCAAATACAAACTATTTCGCTTTCTCCATTACCATCTTTGACGAGCATTACGTAAACAGGCATTCGCAAATCATTGAGTTTGTACGTGGCATCAATGAAGAGAAGTTCAGGAAAGGCTGCAAATGTTTTTCTCATTTCTTCTGTTTGAAAGTATATTGCTTGCACAACATTTTCTTTGTCAATACAAATCTCTATACTGGCATCTAAATAAAAAAAAATAATGGCTTGTGTAGCAGCCCTTCAGATTAACTAAATTATCTGTTTGGGGTTGGCTGTTACAGGGCATTTTTTAACTATATAACTGGGGGGAAAGCCCCCTCAAAAGTTTTTCACTCTGGTGGCACTTAGTGGGAGTCGGGCCCTCTAAGTTTATCAAGCAGGCTCCCTGAGTGACGGCCAAGTTGTGGTATCTACATAAACATATTATGCAAGTACTTAACTGAAGGTTCAGTCTATCTACAGCATAATGTAATGCTGTATACCCAAAAATCTGTTTCAGAAAATGTAGGGAATTGCATTCATAGGGGTAGAAAAATACAAATATTTTCTGGGGGAGAATACCCCAGACCCCCTACTATTAAATGCGATACCACACCAAACTTTTTGTTACCAACAAACCATCTATCATTTCTCCTTACTCGGTATAGTATGGTCCCTTTTTGTAGATCCCCCCCCACTGACAAATTCTTAATTCCTGGGCCAATTATCAATAAATTGATTTTTGTTTGCAATTATGAGTTGCATTATTGTACAGACACTTACTTGGATACTCTTTCATCTCCTTGAGAATTTGTTCAAAGTCATTCCCTCTTTTGGGCTTGTTTTTGGCATTAAGGTTGTGTGTGTAGGTCTTTGAGCACAACATATTTTCCAACAGCATTCTTGATGTGGTTCTGCAGAAGCTTCTTATTAGACTTTATGCTGAGCATCTTTTCAGCATTTTCTTTCTCCTCGCCAACCAAACGCCGTTGCTTTGGAATGCTTTTATAAATATTCTAAAAAAACAAATAATATTGGTACTCTAATAGGTTTTTGGGTCTGGTCCATAGCTAATAAAGTTTCAAACCCCCAAAAGCCTCGGTCCACATCCAATGTACTGACTACTCATTATGTTGCTACCCCTTGACCAACCTCCAACCCGGGAGGGTACAGAAGCTGGACCCCCCTCATCTGGACCCCCCTCATCTGGACCCCTTTCTGGACCCCTTCAGGATCTCTCAGAATATAAAATAAATTCAAAATAGTGATTAAAATAAATATTTGATATAAATTATAAGACGATTTTCATAAATAATAGATTTTAATTTATGGAAGTAGTTGGGCCTAGTTGCGAAGTAGTCTTTAGTTTTAGGCAGTTCACTACTAACCTCTGTCCTCTTGTGATTGTGTTCCAAGTACTGTGATTTGATGACTAATTTCTTTCCATCTGCTGAAGTTCTCAACTTGACATGACAAGGACATATATACTAAAACTGTCTGTACCAGTGTTGATAGTACCAATGTGAAAATGCTGTGCTGAGTGAGTCGGCGTTTGATGCGCATTACCATTGATTCTATGTCACAGCATATTCAGTCTTTAGATTCCGGGATTTCACATGTTGAATCCATTTTGTCTACCTCATGTCCTTCCATTTTAAGAAAGGACATCATCCAATTCATTCGCTTGTTGAATCCTAGACTTTACTCGTTCCTCGAAGCGAGCAAAGCTTCTAAGTTCAACTCTTTGTTAAGCAACCGCCCCATTTCGCCGGCCACCAACCACACCAGTTCAGCCAATAGTACCAATTTAGTTGTAACTATTCCTCCCGATTTAACCCTATCCGACTCTGAGAGATCTGTCCTCACGAAAGGTCTCAAATTTGTTCCCAGCCCCGGGTCCCTTGACATTTTTTCAGTTAAGACCGACACCGAATAATTTTTCAGACGCTTGCGTCTGAAAGCACATTTCAATAATCAATCCTCTGTCCCTCACAAGGACGTTTTTGAGGCTATCAACCCCAAAAAATCTTCCTGGTCTCCCCCAGAAGACCAATATGGGTCCCTTGAACTATTCATTTGACAATGTCGACATGATATAGAACAACTCCCCAAAGTTAGGCCCAAAAGGCCATTTGATGGTGAGCATTACCAACAGATAAATGGTGTAGCAATGGGAACTAATATGGGACCCAACTATGCTAATTTGTTTGTTGGTTTTGTGGAAAAACAAATCTTCGAACAGTACACTGATCCCATCCCTGATTACCTTGGTAGGTACATAGATGACTGTCTTGGCACAGCATCATGTTCTTGTGTCGAATTGGAACACTTAATTTTCATCCAGCACTCCAGTTCACATGGGAGATCAGTGTATCATTCTTAGATATCCTTGTATCAATCAATGGTAACAAATTATCTACTTCTGTGTTCTACAAGCCCACTGACTCCCATAGCTATCTTCTATTTTCCTCTTCCCACCCCAACCACACCAAAAGGTCGATTCCCTTTTATCAGTTCCTTCGTCTTCGCCACATCTGCAGTGAAGACGAAGATTTTCAGGCCAAAAGTCTGGAGATGAGACACTTTTTTGTCCAGCGTGGTTATCCTACCTCTCTATTAGACACTGCCTTTTCGAAGGCCTCCCATATTCCCCGTTCTGACACCCTCACAGACCCTGTGTCTAATGTCACAGGCAACAACAAAATCCCCCTAGTATTAAACTATCATCCTTTCAATTGCAAAGTTAGAGATGCCATCAACAAGAATTTCCACATTTTGAAAAACGACCCTGAAACATCTTCCATTTTCTCCGATATCCCCTTAGTCTCTTTTCGACACAGCAAAAATATCTGTGAAACCCTTGTCCATAGCTCCCTAACACAGGCTTCGACGTCACAGAAAGGCACTTTTTCTTGCCTGTCGTCGAAATGTAAAACCTGTGATTTTATAGATTCCACCACTACTGTTTAGGCACCTAAATCTGAATTTCACATCAAGCACCATTCCATGTGCGCCTCCTCCCATCTCATCTACTGCATCTCTTGCAGCAGATGTGGCATGCTTTACATTGGGGAAACTGGAAGATGTTTAAGGACAAGGTTTGGTGAGCATCGGCGTGCAGTTATTGGCAATGATGCTAACCAACCTGTTGCCAGACATTTTAATGATGGCAATCACAGTGTTTCAGATATGTTAATTCGAGTCCTCTGTCCCATTTCTGGAAGCAACGATAGCCGCAAACGACATGAAATGCACCTCATATCCAAACTTGGCACTGTTCACCCTTCTGGCATTAATGAACGCTTTTCTTATGTTTAATGCCATCATAGAGAATCCAGAAGACAAGTCTTCTGTTTTGTCTATGATGCCATCTGTCTTTGCCTGTCAATAGCAGACATTGACAACTTCTATTTATTACTTTTACCTTATTCCCACTCGTGTATTGTTTTGATTATTTTTTGTAGTAATTGTCTTAACTTCCTGTTTATTTTTATATTTTAAATTATATTATATTCTGTAATGCGATTTACATATTTTGTTTACACTTTGTTATTATTAAATCCATCTAATTGGTTTATTTTTTTGTCACGTGATGCTTTCATACTCTTAGTATAAAAGCCCATGCATTTTCCCCGATCCCTGCTACTAACTCTTGACGAAGGGCCTTCACTCGAAACGTTGAGTTTCTGCTTATTTTTTAAGGTAGTAATATAACCACTCAGCACAGCATTATGACAAGGACAGTCTTTGAGATACGTACTATAAAAACCAAGGATAGCAAATCTTCTTATATCTTCTTATATTACTATACATGTATGTAAGAATTTTTTTGGACCAAATTTCTTCTTATATCTTCTCATATTATTTTATTTTTTACAGCTTTGTTACCCTGTTGTCAACAATATTGTTGACAAGTGTGAACAATGTGGGCCGCACAACATTGTTCAATCCTCTTAAACAGCAGGCTCATAATTTATTTGTGTATTAAATAGTTTACCAATAGATTTCATTTGTTTTACAACTGCTTGACACCTCAATACTTAATATAAATCATCAAAATGATGTCATGTTATAATGACGTCATCTAAAATCATAGACGAGTAAAAAAGTTGACCCATGCATTAATCTGCTTGAGTAATATTCTCCAATGCAAAATAATTATTTTTTGATATTTATATGTAATATCCCTCATTAGAATCTTACCGGTAATTCAAATTATGACTAAATATTGACTGGTTGTGTGAAATACATGTATTTTGATCATTGTCAGAACAACAATAATTAATACAGTATATATAATTTACATACTTGCAAGTATATAATTTATATACTTGCATATAATTCATATGCACCAGCCTCCTTGGTGACTTATATGACTTTTAATATTTTTATATTTAACCTTTCTTGTACTAGGAGCATGAAGATCCCACAGTCGTGCATAGAAAGAATATGACAAAGGTTCGCATGCTGATGCTGGATTCCACATTTGTGTATTTGATATACAAGGGATCAATCACCTTCTCTGTTGAATTAGAGAAAGTTTTATGGGTGGAAATGGAATAAAAATTCACCAAGCCAAGGGGTGGGTAAAGTAAAAATCATTAAGTTGGAAAATACTAAAATACCACAGAAAAATGTTGTAGTAAATAGAACAAAATAACATGAATTTTCAATAGGAAATGTTACTGTAAAATATCAAAAACAAAGTGAAAGGAATATTAAATGTAATTTCAGTCACTGTCTGGCAAATCAGTCACCTCATGGTGAACTGAGCCTCATGTTTCTGTCTTTTTTCTGGCTTGCTTCACTGTTCTTTTTTCCTCTGTGCAAGTCTTCTCTTTTCGACATGTGCAACTGAGGTTGCATCAAATCTCTCTTGTAGTTGTGAAAAAACAAATTGTAAATTATTAACAAAACCATCAACTGTATTAATAATTGTATCTAATTGTTCCATACAATCCTCTATAAATTTGATTTCATTGGTGGCCCAATCCTTTGGAGACATATCTTAATCTACCAACTCTTTCTTTCTATTTATCAACTGTTAGTTTCAGTTCTTCACAGAAAGAAATGTTTCTTTAACATATTTCAAGGCCCAGTTGCAGTTACCAACATCTTGAACTTTGACATCTGCAGGAAGTCACTGGTATCTTTCGAGTTGCACATCTTCATCGGAAATTATCCCAGACTTGTATGACAGAAATGTCTTTTCCACACTCCATTTTAGTCTTCATATTCCATCTGAATTTTCTTTGTCCTTCCAGATATGCTTGAAATGAATTTTTTTTTGTGTATGCACATAAATAAAGCTCCTCAGTAATTGAGTTGAAGTAGTTCAACTGCTCTGTCTTGACATTAGGAATAAGAAATTTTTGCCATGACTTGATATCAACATCTTGTGCATCTTCACTAACCACAAATTTGCCCCAACAATTGAAATGGCTCATTTTAAAAGAAATGAAAAAAAAACCAGAGTTTAATATATAGATTTTTACCACTGACAAATCGTCTTTGTTTGCAACTTTTCCTAGATGTGCATGGTTAAGTTTCATTGCAAAATGCATGCATGCCAAAGGGATTAGCTTACTTTTTTGCTTTCTAACTCGCTTATCTTGGGTTGAAACTTTAGGTTTTGTTATTTGATACACCTACATTTCATAGCGATGTTCTAAATTTCATTACATGACCAGGCATAGATAAATATTGTTTTATGCAAAGTATGGATGACAAAGCATACCTCAGGCCAGGTACATCGGAAGGCTTTCAAAACACACAAAATCAAAGAATCCTGACCTCTTCAGTAGTTGAAAATGCAAGAGAACTTCCAAAGTACAACTGTGCTCAAAAGCTTGTGTACCAAACCCAAGGAGCACATCGAGTTTTTACCAATGTCTGATACTACAGAAAAACTAGTTACCGAGGATAACAATCGTTTTGTCTTTGTTCGTCCAAAAGGCCTTTGTTGGATCTAGTGGCACCGTTTGGGCTAGCGAAACCATCTGAGTGCACCAAATCACCCTAATATATTTGAAGTACCTGACGAGCAAAGTCAACCCTACAGTTCCAGTTTAAGAAAAATGTGCTCTGAGATTTATTGCGCATGTTTCATGTACGTTGAAATGACTGGAGTTGGAGTGATGAACTACAAGGTGAAGTTTAGGGATGCTGAAATCGGCCGCATATTTGACTCTGATTAAGAGAAATAATCCTTATAACTATCCATAAACTGTATTTTTTACCATTTTAAAACTTGTATATATTGCTGGTTGTCAAAGGTGACTGTTGACGTAACTCATCATGAACCATCTAATTCAAGGTATTATTTGTTTTATTAAGATTGAATAAATATAATTTATTTATATCAATTTGCAAAGTATTCCATTTGAACCTGCCATAACAGTCATGATAAAGTGACAGAGTTCATACTTGTTGGCTTTTTTGTTCTCTCAAAAACTGAAATAAGTCAATTTACCTCTTAAATAAGCAAATTGATAGAAATTAAGTTAGGGTGGGTCTAAGATTTTTGAATGAGTGCTGGGGTTAGGTGGAGAAAAAAAATTTTGTTGAAGGTTGGGTCACTAAAATATTTGGCCAAGAAAATGTTTCTCCTCAACCCCCCCCCCCCCGCTGCCTCGGCCATAAATCACCAGTCCCTAATGCGATACAAATTGCCAGTGCAACAACAGGAAATGTATTCCTGACATGGAACAGAGAGGCAATGGAATCTGGCCACATCACTAGGGCTGTTCAATCAGTTTTTAAGAAAGGTGGAATAGATGTAAAAGTTATGTCCACATCGTTTCGAAAGGCTGCAGTATCGAAGGTGCAAACTGATGACCCAGGTGTCAGTGGAAAACTTGCATATGGCCCACAGCGAAACCACAGCTAAGAAGTATTACTTGTTGGGCTGCAAAGTCCAAGGAGTCAGTCAAGAAAGCTTGGCAAGAACCTTGGGAAGCTAATGTGAAAGGATGCCAGCGAAAGTGAAAGCAAAAAACAAAAGGATGTTGGTGAAATTCAAAGCAACGACAAAAAGGATAAACATTCGCCCCAAGATAAAGAAGGCAAAAAAGTGTGGCAAGGAACAAAGATGATCTTATTTTGTGATCGCGTCGAAAGCAGTCGGGAACTTTGTGCCATGTTGCCACAAAGAGTGTATGACAAGTTACATAAGGACTTTAAAAAATCGCCTGTAGAAGCTGTGGTTCAGCTGCCTCAAGCCTGTGAATTCCTTGAAGACAAGCTTTAACACATTGACAGCAGTGAGGCAAAAAGTATCGACTTGAATGTGGGCCAGTCGACCAGTTTTGTTCCACCAAGTGAGAAAAACAGAACTTTCAACAATTATGAAAAAACACATTGCATCAGCTGTTTGGCGATATAATTATGGAAAATGTGATGTTCAGTCGTATCAAAATTAAAAACAGATGCTTACGAAGTGAAGAGAGACAAAAACGTTTAAATAAATTACAATTAAATCCAATCCTAAATGACATAAAATATGAAAGGCAAAAGAAAAGACTGGCATCCAATGATAGTAATTATATAGCATAGAATAATGCATTTGGACAAGCAATATACATGTTTATTTCTAGTGGTGAAAATTAATTGGATTTTGTTACCTGTTTCGCCTGTCAAACATGTTAAGACACTGCATCAACTACCAATTTTTCTTACTCAAACACTACTTTTCAATTACATTTTGTCACTTGATACATATGATCTATCGCTGTATCACAGAACTTGTGGCTTTGCCTGCCAAAATCATTAGTGTTTCATATCAATATTAACATGATACTCAAATGCATTTTTTAAATAGTATTTCAAAATGGTAAATAAGTTCCATATCTTCAAACGCTATCATACCAGGGTGTTAGCCAGAAGTAAAAAAAATCTGTGTTTACCTGAAATTGGGAAATTTCTTTGTGGGTCTGGGGGCACGCAGTTGCTCCCTCTTGATTTTTAAAATTTTTGTGTCTTTGAAATGGCATTACCTGCATTTTGGGAGTAATTTTGAGCAAATGTAGTTATAAACATGTTTTTAACTATTTTTTGGCTGACCCAAATTGGGAAATTGCGACCTCAAAGTAATTGCGAGAACTGTGTTTAACACGGAATTTTTGACTGTAGCTAACACCCTGCATACATACTGTACTACTCCAATCGCTATCATACATACTGTAGAAATAAAGTGGAATTTATTAGAATGGATTGAAAAGATTTGGGATGATCGGTTGTTTTTTACTGGATCCTGGAGATAAACATACACTCAATATATTTCTCTTTGATCTCTCTCGACTTTTTTCCATTTATATTCATATCTATTACGCCTGTATTCTAAAAGCTCAATCACACCCAGGGAGTACCCACTGAACACTCATTGAGATCCCCCTCCCCTTTTAAGCAGGAGAATACACTCACCCTCTACCCATGCAAAGGCGACTCACACTGAAGGAAAGCTAAAAAAAGCTAAAAAAACGAGTAAAGCAACATGTATATGTTCCTCGCTCAATTTTTGAGCTTGAATTTTTGAGCCTCAATTTTTGAGGGGAGCCTTGGTGAGTGTAAAGTCTTGTTCCTGCAGTTTTGCAGGCACTCCTTGAGTATGAATGAGCTTTTAGAATACAGGCACTAGAGATTTTAAATGCCTATACAGTTTGTACGATTATGATTTTAGCTGGATATGAACTGTTTCATCTTAGAGATTTGCATGATAAATAATTCAAATTTTTATGCAATTTGCCTAATTTCTTGTATGATTGTGACACGATTCTCAATTTCTTTCACAATTTTTGAATTTTGGGCACCCAAAAGTAATTCTGTTTGGCTCTGGTATCACAGGTATAAAATTGCGAATTGTGATGATACAATATTTTTGCTATGCTTTAATACGATGTTTTTTAGTGTCCAAAAGACTCCTATACCGCTTTGACATTTATACTGTAGAAACACTTTGCTGTAATATCGTAATTAAATTTCATAATTAAAACTGTTGACTCATAATGTAAATATAACTTCCATTCATTGACTATTATTCCAGATTATTATGAATGTTCCTTTTTTACTGTTTCTTGACATTATATTAAATATATTACTATAATCATTTTTATGTGTCGTCAAGTAATGAGTTTTAAAATTAATTCCCCGTATTCAAAAAGCTCACTCACACTCAATGAGTGGAGGTTCAATCTGAGCTTCCTTTGAGTGTCAATGCTGTTTTTGAACAGACCCTCCAGCTGTTAAAAAATGGCATTGACACTCAGAGAAGCTCAGATTGAATCTCCACTCATTGAGTGTGAGTGAGCTTTCAGAATACGGGCATAGATGTGTTGTGAACGGCCAAGATATGAGAAATATTGTTTTGGTTATTGTTGTGTACTTCAGTCCCAGTTAGATGTAGACTTAGTGTTAGGACATGGTTATGGTTAGATTAAATGATAACTAATGCAAGGAAAGCATAGTTAGGGGAAACCTAATATTCTGCCCTAATTCTGCATCACATAGACTTAAGGTCTCAGTGGATGTGATAGAATTATTAGATTGAAATATTAGATTATCAGGATCATTTATATGAGAATTGGGCCGAATTTTTTCACCCTGTTTTGGAACCTGATCAATTCATTGTGTAGATGAGAGTTCAAAATAAGATGAGTTGAAAACATTTAGTTTGGATATGTTCCCTCAATTCTCTTAAAAAACTGTCTGTCTGTCTGTCTGTCTGGGGTGAGTGTACTCAGTGTAGCAATATTTAAGGTATTGATTTCACCTGACTACAATAATTGTCATCTCAACAATTCTTGATATAAGAAATCAATTCTTAATTAGGATTGCAACACTGACAAACAATTGTTAAAATGACCTAAATTTTGCAGTCTCAATTTTGCAAAACCCCAATTTTGTGATACTTTCGAGGCAATCGCTTTCTTGGAATTTGAGAATTTAGTTTATTAAATAGTCACAACACCATAATTTTATACCGTTTTTTTTTTACTTTCACAATTTAAAAATTAGCCGCCTTTCGACAGGGCTCGCATATTCTGAAATCCTGGTGAAACAAAAAATTCAAACTGGGGCTGGTTGTACGAAAGGCGTTTAAGTCACTATCAGGGCGAAGGGAGAGAGCGCGTGGAAACGCCAATACATCGAGCGTCCCCATCCGTGATGCGGGGGGTAAGACATTCTAATTGTAAACAAATATGGCTATGCGTATATGACCCATCAGAAGGTATGCTGAAACTATTGCTTTATAAAATATTACTTGTGTAAAATTTATATGTTTTTGTTACTTTTAGCTATTATAAGAAACTTAAAGATAAGATTTAAGTAACCAAAAACTATATTTCGGGTGTTATTTTATTTCTATACTCTGTTTAATTTGGTGTTTAAAAATGGCCATCGAAATGTTGTAACAATGATTTCCAAAACCTAAATTATAATTTGTTATTAAGTTATGATGAAAATCTTTGCGTAGACAAAATTATAGAGTGATCAAATATGAGACAGATAGGTTTTGAACCTTTCAAAGTTCGATGTCGAATTGACAGTTGAAATGTCGTGTATATTTTTGTCAATTTTGTTTACTTGCAATGGCTCGACATAAGTTACAACATACAAACTGAGCAGAGCCCATGAAAAAGCTATCCATACCCCTACAGTCATTCAGCTTCCTTGCTATTTAGAAGTGCATGGTTGCCCATTAGTCGAAGAAGAATTGCTATTGTATGCGCTTGTTTGCACCCCTTTCCTGAAAAAGGCTACAATATTAAGGCTAAATAGCAGAGAAATATGACCCAATAATCCATGCAATTAAAAATATCTATCAAATTAACTTCAAAAATCATGATTTGAGGAATTATACCTATTCAGGCAACCCATAATTTAGTGACAGGTCTTGGCAAGGTGAAAGCTGAAAGGAACCCTTAAGATGGGTGTACTACAAAGCTATATTGACTTAAGTTTTGGAAGCATTTAACTAAATTTTGAAGGATTGACTCACCAACTGTGATTCAGTTTCATGGGATTTTACACTTTTCTGGAGAAGTTGTGGCTCTGTTAGTGCCATTTCTTTCATTGTTTATATATCTTGCTTTTAAGCATTGCTCACTTATAAAATCTTTCAATTCCTTAACTCAATTCGATCCGCCAATATTAATTTCCGACGTATATGACGGGAAGATTAAATATTAAAGAACTTCGCGAGTATTTGCAGTAGACATACGAAAATACCACCAAAAAATTTCGCTTGATCGATACTATATATTCAGAAATATTCATATAATTTTATTGTTTCTCGCTCAATTTCAAACAAATTTCTTACCTTGAAATGATCAATGCAGTGAAATTTATGCAAATGACACATTATCAATTTTGCTGTTGCATTTTGAATGTTCCGCCTGATTCAAATGCTCGTCTTTTCGCTTCTTTTCAACGTATAATAATAACAAATATACCAAAAGAATCGCCATCTTCCATTCTATAGCTCGGAGCAGTCTCGGGAAATTGCGAAATAATCTAAGCCTATTATGGCAATTCTCGTGATCGGAAAGTGTTCGGCCAACTTCGGACGCCAAATTCTTGGTAAAGCATTGCAGTTTCCTGGTAAAAGACTGCAGGAATCACTTCCGGAGTATTTGTTTACCCTAGATACGGATATCACTTCCGGAGTATTTGTTTACCCTTTGATTGGCTTAGGCAGAAAAACAAATCTTTTAGAGCAATTTTCCTGATTATCGCGCACGGGAACGCACGAGCGTTGAAATGTATTGTGTTGTAGTTTTCTTTGAATCACATTCTGAAGACGTTTTTGGCTTTATTTTGCAAACTGATAGTGCTAGTAATGATGGAATGTCTTTGTATGAAGACAAGTATCTCAACCTGGCATTGGGAGTCGTGTCTGGAGTTTCAAGGCAAGTATTTGTATAATTTCTAGACAATTTCTATTTCAATGTTTTGCCGTTGCCATGGCGTTGTAAATTTATTTGTATTTAGTATAGCTTCACTAGTACGACCAAGTATGTCCTCATATCGCTTTTTTGTGTTGAAATAATCGTTTCATAGTGAAATTGACAAATATAAATGGTATTTATTTATATTGTTGACGAAAGTTTATGGTGTTTTAGGCATAAAAATCTCTGATTCCTAGGCAAAGTAAAATGAGCCTTGAGCACATGTTTGGTTGTTTGTTACATACATACATAATAGCCAAGAATTCATACTTATATCTTACTAGCTGGCTCTTATTATAATTTTAAGTGGCACCATGTCTATAAAAGTTTTTATTTGCACTGATGAATATATTGCCTGTTCCTCACTGCTGTTCCTGTTTCATAGCCTCAGGGAAGTAGAGTTCTGATGAGTCACAAGAACCCCACTCACCAACCCAGAAGGAAGGTAGGGGGATGAGTAGAGGTAGAGGAAGCCCAGCCATTAGGACCTAAGGTTTCGAAAGCTCCCTGTCTAGCATCTCCACTAGGCCCCATAGTACATGACGGATATGATGATCCTGACGTTAGGAATGTTCTCCCAGATTTTGCTCCTCACTGACATGTCCGGGATCCATTTCGATCAACTGTGAGCTTGAGTTCATTCGGCTCAATGAACTGTGAGCTTGAGTTCATTCGACTCTTTTTTACTAAGTGAATGCTTCAGGAGGTAGTTTCCTGGCCATACCAATACATATGCCCACATACAAATAACTCAAAAGTTATCCCCATATACTAATAAAGAAGGGTCTTGCAGTCCACCAACCTTGAGAGGTTGATTGCCTTTAGTATAATATGCAGGTTTGCTAAAGGTCGACAGTGAGATTGAAAATTATTGGAGTGTAAAAACCTTATATCATGGTCTGTGGGCAATAGACATAATTTCTCGGGTTAGGTACAAATCGCTTATGGCATTTGTGAATATGGTAGATCCTGTACTAAAGACTACAGCAATAAACTGCATCAACAACTGTACCAGCCATCACAGAATATTGTTGTTGCAGACAAACACACTGTCAAATCAAGAAATAGGTTGGGGGTTAGGCAGTTCATGAAAGCTAGATGACCTACTATGTGGGGAATAAATCTGTGGGTTGCTGCAGACAATCCTAATGGTTATATTGTAACTTTGAAATTTATACAGGAAGAAGTCCAGATATTCATCGCAACAGATTTGGGTATGACGTGGTGATCTGATATCAGTTTGGTTACAGCCTTAGGTCTTTTGTAGTACAATATAAAGGAAATATTTTCACCACATAATCCAATTATGTGCTTTGGCAAACATTACTGCTTTAGCAAACATTACTGCCTTGGAAAACATTATTTTTTTATAACTACTAATTATGATGATGCCAGTCCAACAACACTTGGTCATGCTATTTGCAAATATTTTCATGTTCTAGATTGTGAAAACAATCAATTTCTAAACAAATGAGTAGTGATTATTTCAAATTTGAATAGCATGACCAAATTTTGAGGCTGGTTATGACACTAATAACTAAAGTCAATGGTGTAATGATTATCTAAGAATGTATGTAGTAATTGTAGAAATAAAAATATTTCTATTTATGCTATATACATGAAACTTCGGGTACTTGTAGATCATAACCGTGTCTTTCAGTCATATTCATAAAATTTTTTGACATATTTGAAATTTGAACTGCTAAATATATTTATGCATAATTGCAACATTTTTTTATATCATAATTTATGCAAATTTATGCGAGTATATCGTTAACCAAGCTCCGGATGAAATTGGTATCGTTGGAAAGCAGAAGTCCTCCTCTTTCGAACGATGCAATTTCTGTTTCCGTGCGATGTATAGTTTGAGAGATATAAGCGTTTGAAACAACACCACTCGAAATTGCTACTTTTCCACCGGATGAGAATGAGTTAATCTAATCCCATGATACTGAATCATAGTTTGTAAGGCCCTGTTTACATGAGACCAGGATGAAACCAAACTGGAATGAAAATTGAAATTGTCAACATGTTTACATGAGACCGGTATGAAAATCACAAAATTTTCAATTTATTCCCCTTGCCAGGCAATTTTCTTTTTTAGATGGCTTTTGTTAGCATGTGTTGTTCACTTGTTCCAATGTCAACATTCATTCCGGTCTGAATTCATGCTGGTCTGAAGTCAGTTGGCTTGGTCCAGCAGGCGGAATGACCCTCATGTAAACATCTATTATATGTAATATTATGACCAAAACTAAATGGGCCCGGTTAATTGACTTCATGTGAACGGTACCTAATAAAATCCTTCAAAAGTTGGCTAAATTTTTCCAAAACTTCAGTCAATATAGTTTTGTAGTACA